TTCCAATATTCCATTTGCACTACATGTTTTTTCAATACATATGTTAGATGAGTATTTATTTTTATTCACCAAAAAAAAATTCTTATTATTGGTGCAGGCTGGGCCATAGCTTCTCTCAGCCAATGGGAGCTGTGAACAGCCATACCTGTGGACACTCAGGTAAAAAAAAGCATCTGGCCACCCGCCATGGGTTAACCCTGGTGAACCACATCCACTTGCTGCCCACCCCAGCCTACTCCAAAGCTCGCTCATTGAAGGGCTCTGAATCAGAACTGAAGTGCATAGATTAGATGAGAAGTGAGGCAGGAGTATATTGACACTGCAGAAATTGAATTCTGTGTAGAGAATGGGGCAAAGATCACACAATAAACAATGAAGATAAAAATAAGTATCTAATAGGTGTTTCATTCACTGTGTACTGTTGAATCCCCACACCACAGACTGCAAATGTTATATGGGGAAAAGACAGTGTTTGTTCAACTAAAATTTCTGTTGTGCATTTATACAAGGGAGCAGTTAGTGTTATAGTGACCATCGTAACTTTGTCATTTCCTCGCTTTTGAGTACTTTGTTTTCCAATTAATAACCCTTTTATATTATTCTGTTTATAATAATGTATATTCTGTATAAAACATGATGGGCACTGTGCACACATATGACAGGTCACTGATCCAAAAAGCATCCTTTCTAAACAAACGTTTCCATTTTTCATCATTCAATGTTTTTAGGCATATGTTACAAGTATATATATATATACACACCTGTCTTCATTTTTTGTTATACACAAAAGCATTTTTAAAAGGCAGGTTTTGTCCCAGGTTTGGAGAGTGTCACTACAGATGTATTCAGTACTGCCCTTGCCCTTATGCAGAATACGCAGTCGCGTGAAGCACCTGAAAAATTGGGACATGCCTGGGTCTTAATACCCATTCACCACCTTTTTCCTATCCCTGTTCCTCTACCTACCTGCCTATTCCTATCCCTGTTCTGTGACTCTGCTTCCTCCGGAGAAGATCTAGTTAACTTAAAAGTGAAAAAGTCTGCCAGACTGATTAACCGAACACTGAACCTCTGGAAGAGCTAATCAAGTGGTAATGAAGCCATTGACCAAGCATTTGCCAAGCCGAGGTTTATACTTTTAGTTTCTAAATTTACTGTAAAAACAATGAGTAGTCCTGTGGCACTTTAGAGACTAACAAATGTATATATATAGGGTGTCTCCGCCATACGTTGCCCTGGTATAGATCCGTTCCACACTAAAGTTGTTGATGCTTGTAGGAACTGATGCGTTATAAGTTCTCCCATTCCCCGCTCTTAAGTCGTGCAAACTGCCCCTCCCCCCCCCAAGTTGTGCAAATGGAAGTCAGCCATGGGAAAAAAATTCCCCACTTTAAGTTGTTTCGCTATAAGTCCAAGTTTTTTGGAATGTATCTTGGACTTATAGCAAGGACGGCCTATATAAATATCATGAGCTTTTATGGGCAAAACCCACTTCTTCAGATGAAATGAGTTCGAGTTAGTCTACAAGACCTCAGTTTAAAATCTGCATTAAAATATTTCATTAATATTTGTAGAAGATTATAAAATCATATCTCTAAAAATTCCCCACTTTAGCTGCCATTGGCTGTAGGGACACCAGTTTAATAGTACTACATAGGGACCCATAAACCCTAAAGACGGCCCTGGATGCTTCCCAAGAGAGAGTGAAGGTTTCCATGATATACAGGCAGTCCCCGGGTTACGTACAAAATAGGGACTGTAGGTTTGTTCTTAAGTTGAATTTGTATGTAAGTCGGAATTGGTACATATTGTAGGGGAAACTCTAGACAAACATTTCTCCAGAGCTCAGTTTTATTCTCCCACACCTCACTTCCCTCAGTCCTTTATTCTCAAGCTGAGGTGTCTGCTGAGAAAAGCCGCTCTGCGTCTCCCTGGTCTGCTGGGGGGGAGCAGCTAGTGCGGGGTTGCCTCACCCCGTTTGTAAGTAGGGATCCGATGTAAGTCGGATCCATGTAACCCGGGGACTGCCTGTAGTAGGTTGAAGACTGGACTAGATTTATTTTAATTTAAATTTCTGTGGTGAAGCACCTCTTCCTCCCCCTCCCCACCATTGGGACAAGAGGGATTAAGGTGGCCAGGCAGGCCAATTAACTCCATTAGTGCACCTGGAGGAGGAGCCAGGGAGCATGGTACTAATTAGAAGCAGACTCAGCTGACCAGAAGGTGGGGCCAACATAAAGCCCAGCAGCGGTGAGGAGCAAAGAGACGGTGGGAAAGCAGGTTGTGGTTATTCCCTGAGTGGAAGGATTTGGGAGGATGTCAAGGGCAGAAACAGTGGAACCCAGATGAGTAGCAAGAATCCCAGGAAAATCAGACTCTTTAGAGACCTTGTTATAGGGTTTCTAGGCTGGGTTTCCTTGACAGCCATTGGCAAGGGCATTGGAGACAGCAGCCAGCCACAGGTCTGGAAGGACTCTGAATTCCTCAGAAGGAATTCATTGCTAACATTGTTTCATTTGACAGTGGCAGTGTTTCATTTGAAGGGATCCATTTATGCAGCTACCTAGTCTTCTTTGTCATCAGTACAGCAGTCTGCTCAGGAGTCATTTTCAATTTAGTTTATTCTTGATCAACAAACCTTCTGAGAAGCAGAAAGACACTTCATTTGATTCCTTCTCAACAGCTCTTTACAGATATATGGTATTGCACACCAGGTTAGCAAAGCCTGAGACACTTCCTGCTTCCCATCACAAGTTCTGTGCAGAAACCTGTCCCAGTAAATGTATTGCATTAGATTAATTTCAAACTGTGTACCTATTACATGTAAAGTGTCAAAGGGATAGCAATATTAGTCTATATCTGCAAAAACAACAAAGAGTCCTGTGGCACCAAACTTATTTGGACATAAGCTTTCGAGGATAAAAAAACCCCACTTCATCAGATGAATGATGCATCAGCATCTGACAAATTTTTTAAAACGAATGACATCTTATGCTCAAATAATCTGTTAGTCTTTAAGCTGCCACTAGCTTCTTTATTGTTACATAAAAATAGCCATTTTCTGTTGCTAACTAATGAATCTACACACAGATGTTTGCCAGTTTTAAAAGAGTGTGTCAAATATAACTTCCAATTTTATTTACTTCCAGGATTTCATGCACCACATTAAAATATAATTTAAATGACTAAACACATTTACATGTAGAGAGAACCAACAGAGCATATAATTTTGATTGCTTTCTGTACTCATTATAGTTCTGTATTGGATACTTTCAAAACTGAGCTTTTAAGAAGACAAGAAATCTAAATGCTTCCGTGCACTCATTTTTATTCACATTGTTTTAACTCTAACATTTGTACACTACACATTTTTAATATGACCACAATGCTGTACAAAGACCAACTGGAATTGTGTCTTCAAATCAAATTTAATCTGATTGTCCTCTTGAAATATTAAACAAGGGCTATTAAAAGAGGATTAAAGCATAAAAGGAAACATGATTACTAAGTCTTTTAAAGTTATCAAAGAGCAAATACTATTGAGTAATAATTGTGTGAAATAAAAGCAAAAATCCACCTTTAACTGAGTTTTCTGACACTGCCAACTGAGAGTTCATATCTAACGTTATTGGATAAAATGTTGGCCCAATTAAAGTCAAAGGAATTTTACTATTGAGTAGCAGGGGTGAGGATTTTCACTCATTATGTTCACATTGTAAACAATTCAAACATTAGAAGCTTCCATTTTTTTTACCTTTGAATAAGTTAGTAACACTGCTGTGAAAGAATTACTATAATGTTCTATATCAAAGCATCTGTGTCAAGCAAGCTACTGTTAACTATGGTGAACTGCAAAGGGGGAAAAGATGGGTTTGTGCCTTTTTTTATTCTTTATGATGCATCAAGGAGGCCTGAAGAGATTTTTGCCACGGCAGCGTTTGGATTGTTTCTTTTCTTTTTTCTTTTAGAAAAATGTTAAGAGTTGCCTACCTTGAAAGAATCTGTGGTGACTGGTGTGAACTAGGACCATAAGAACTGTGCTATTGAGTAGTCAAATAATTCTTTAGGCTGTTAAGCTCTTGGTTTTCATTTATTTTTGTTAGTACCTGTTTAAAATATAACTTTTAAGGAACATCTTGCAATTCAACTAAAGTCAGCTCACAATGCATATCTCCACTTGGGAGGTTCTTCAGCAAAACCAACATAAGTGGGCTTTGGATCAGATCTCAGGGTATGTCTACACTAGCCACCCTAGTTTGAACTAAGGGCACATACCCTAAGGGCTTTAGTGGTACCAGTATCAAAACATACCCTAAGGGCTTTAGTGGTACCAGTATCAAAACCTAAGTGCAGAATGGGATGGAAAATTTCACCCCCAAAAAAACTGCTCCCACCTTTTCAGGCCATTTTCACATACCATAAACTAGTAAAAAGAGCACAAGCCTATTTTTTTCAAAATGCCTTGCAAGCCAATTTAATCTTTTATAAGAATTTTTGAGTTGTAGCCAGTTTCTACTTGCAGATCAGACACACGAAAAAACATATGCTGTGGGGGGAGAATCTTTTTTTTTTTTTAAGTACAGTGATAGGTACAAGTTGAGTCTTTCTAAATCAGGACTCTCTGGTCCGACAACATCCATGGTCCAGCATGACCACAGAGTTCTGGTGGAGGGTCAGAGGCAGGAGCCCTGCAGGGGCTGGAAACCCAGCTGCGGGAGTCCAGCTGAGCCAGCAGCAGGGCAGCCAGAGTGCCAGTGGGCTCCAGCAGGGCAGCAGTCTGCCCTGTCGGGTCAGGAACCCTGGCAGCAGGGGTGGTGCCAGCCTTACTGTCACAGGACTATGATCAGCCATGGCAGGGCTGGTGGGACCACAGATAGCTGCGGTGAGGATGGGAGCCATGGCAATGGGATTGCGTGCTGCTATGGCAAGACTGATGGGGCTGGGAGCCCAGCATTGCAGCCGTCAGGAGCCTGGGGAGCAGGCAGGGAAGAGGGGCCAGTGGCAGTGGGGAGTGAACAGGGAGGCCAGCAGCCAGGCCAGGAGGAGCTGGGCTGGGGGAACAAAAATGGATCTCCTGTGGTCTGGTGAAATCCCTCATTCAGGACCAGTCAGGTCCCCGGGGTGCAGGACCAGTCAGGTCCAACATGTAGTTTTTAATACTTTTACAACAAGGTAACATTTTAAACATATATGTAAACAAACTAGGCAGCTTTCTGATGTTTATCAAATCGTTCCAATAGAGCCCTTAATATATTTCCAGGTAGTTTTTGGTGTGTATCTCTTAGTCTTTCGATAGCAATCTTTGTCTGTTGAAAGAAAGAGGGAGAAACATTTCATATTACAGGAATGACAAGTCATTTTCTTCAAGTTTTCACAAGGTTGCAAAAGATACACAAAACATCTAAAACTTTATGGAAAGAGATAAGGGAGTGGGGGCAGAAAAGGGAAATTTCTCCTAAGAATCCATCAGACCCTTGCTGAGGAACAGTCTGTTTTCAAAATGCCAGTGTATTTCCCTGTGATAACACTAAGCAATTATATCTGGCTATGCAGTGATGACACAGACCTTTTAGCTCACTAAAGCCCCAATCTCTAAACTGAGCTAGCACTGTGGAAAGCCTATTCTGTGTAAAATCATTTGCCGCAAGGTTCAAGAAGCAGCTCCCTTTCAAAGCCAGTTGCAAACTTTTCAAAACTCCAGTTTCAATGTTTATCATTTGTTAAAATATGCATGGCATAGTTAAAAAAAAAAGAGGGGAGGTTTAGGATGTAAAAAGGCAATTCCTTCAGCAATCAAGCGTACTCTCCTCAGCAAATCATGTTCCTTCAGGCCCATGGGTGGTGGGTGAATGGCAAGCTTGGCGAGAGAAGCTCCAGCTCCGCCCCTTCTGCCTAAGACTCCACTGCTTCTACACTGGTCACTATATTCCCAGCCCACACCATCATGGTCGCTGACCCCCTACCCAAAATTAGCACCTTCTCCTCCCTGCTCCCCCTGCCCCAACACTCAGAGCTCCCAGCCCCTGGAGCAGCTAACCAATTGTATGGCCCCAGCCTTCCCCTCCTTCCTGGAAGCATCCTGCCCCCCCTTTCTCTCCCCCTTAGGGTTGCCAGGTGTCCGGTATTCAACCGGACAGTCCAGTTTTTGGGCCCTCTGTCCAGTAAAAAAAATAACAGAAAATACCGGAGACGTGCAATGTCCGGTATTTTCTGGTTTTCCGGTTGGGCGCCGGATGGAAGCCTGGCAGAGACAGTGGGTGTGGCTGGAAGGTGGGGCATGATCGGCACTGTGAGCCTCTGGTTGTGTCTGACATTTGAGTGATGCCTTAGGGAAGAGCAGAAGTCCTGTCTGTGCTCCTGAGCACTGTTCAAGCGCATTGTGGAGCTGTAGCTGGACTCGCTCATGCTTCGCCAGGACCATGCGTGGGACAGGCATCTCCCTGGAATCTGCGTGTGCCTGGGTCAGTCCCGCTCCCCACCGGCTGATTCTCTCCCCCCTTGTTCTCCCCCCAGCCAGCCTCGCTCCCCCCAACACCCTCCT